GCAGCAGCAGTGAAGTGCCACAGGGGAGGCTCTGTCTCCAGTCCCACCCAGCGGTCCTGCAGAGCTGTGGTCGTGCCCGAGGGTGGCCGGGACATGCCCACAGCCTGTCCCTGTGGCCAGGCCCTCACTCCACCCAACCCTAGGGGATTATTTTCACAAATCCCTGGCACACAGCCCTCCTGAGACCTTGGAAACAGGGGGAAGACACAAACATCAGATCATAGCCCACTCAACAGCTCTTTGGGCCAAGCTGATTTACCTTTCACAAAGCCCCTTCCACCACAGAGACCTCCACAGACAGGGGACAGAGGGATAAGGATTGTCCTTGGCAAGGAACCTGCCTGGCTGCTGCGCAGGTGTTGGGACAGAGGAAGGATTCCTATCACCAAGAGTTGCTTTGGAGCAGGAGGGAACAGGTCTGTACAACATTGCTAATGTCTATCTCAAACATTCCAGTCAATGAAGATCATATCCAAAGGGTCAGGAAATAACGAGCTGTGCCATGAATGCTGGGTAGAGACAAAGGACAGGACCCAAAAGCCATTCTTGCTGGTTCCTCAACATCACTTTTCATACCCTGTTAGAATGAACTCCAAGTCCTATATCCAATCAACCATTTTACCAAGTTTTGCTTCAGTTTCCCATTGAGCTGGAGATTCTTGGCCTAATCTGACAATCAGATTTGACACTACTGGTTTCCAAAAGTAACAGAATTTTTCATCTATGGAATAACTCTAATCAGTAACTATGCAGGCTTTTCAGTCTGCCATGACAAATTGGGAAAAAATCAACACAAGTCTGACCAAAAAAGCTCAGAGCAAGGTCCTTCTGACATGGATATACTAACAGACTTGGCTGGCTACAGCCCCACCACCTGCAGATGATCATCCTGTAAGAGTTTGGTTTGGCAAGAGGGACCAGAGGCATCGATGATGACAGTAATTACCTGGAAACAGAAACATCTCCTGTTAGCAGGGCAGAAGCTTGTATTATTCGTTGGATTTGACTTCACTTTGCTTGCTTTTGGGTCATTTTGATCTTCACTGATTTAAAACCAGACAGAAGCAACTACTAGATCATATGACAGTATCAGTTTAAAGAGAGGGGAAATGGGTGATGTTCCTCTCCCACATCTAGCCCATTTGACAGCACAGCTGTGGGTGTCACTGTGCAAGAGTGTTCCATTTTGTTAGTCAAATTTCTGCCACGCAATGAATTTATGAGTCAGTGGTAGGCACATCAGTATGGGATCCTTTAGTTCTATTCACACATGCACAGTGACGGGTCCCAGCTGGCTGCAATAATCCCAAATGGATCATCTTGTCTAACAGACACCAGGATTATCCCAGAGATATGTGTCCAACAGATGGGCACCAGGGCATTCGCAGAGGGTATCGCTTGGCACTTCTCCTTCCTCCTGCACATCCCAACCCAAGAGGATTCACCTGTTTATCCCAGGATAATCTGAAACCTACTTCACACACATCTCTGCACACCAGCCTCCTACCAGGAGCTGCAAACCACAACCAGCCACCACTTTCTCCATGGAGCAAGGTGAGGCACCAACATTTACTGCTGTCCCTGGAACAAGTGGAGCCAGTACTCATCCTTCAGGAGCAAGAGAATTATGAATTCAATTTTGGCTTTCAGAGCTACAGTGCCAGAAAATCTCATGGTTTCCTTTGCACATCTGCAGGTGCTTGAGCTGCTCCCCATGTGTAGGTGTGAAGTGGCCAGTGCAAGGCAAGGCTTCCCCAATCAAACTCACTGTCCTGATTTTCTTGTGCCTGCTCAGACTTTGAAGTACAGCCCTAGGAGGGGAAGGAGCAGTTGTCTGTCTACATCTCTGTATTCCTTTTTGTTTCATCTCATTGTAAAGGCTTAAAACAGGTAAAAATGAAGATCCAAGAACAGACTACTCACCTTCTTCAAAATTTAGAGGGTTGGAGATAAGGTTTTACTTTAAGACCATCAAAACAACAGTGGGAGGGGAGCAAAATAGCTCAGATCAGAAATCCAACCTTAGCCAGCATAAAATGTAAGGAAACATCTTTGCTATAAGAGAAACTGGAGGGAAAAAAAATCTGCATGAGCAAACTCTCAGCTCCTTTCCTCCCCTCAGTCGCCCTGCGAGCCTGAGCCCGGCTGTGCCTCCTGCCCACCCACCCCGCAGGAGCTGTGTGTCACAGAACCGTTCAGTGACAGCTCTAGTGGACCATCCCAGCCTGTCTCCAAACCCTCCTGTGCCTCGGCCTATTTGGAGCTGGAGTGGAGCCCAGCTGTGCCCCAAGGACTGCACTGTCATCCCCAGCACCACTCCGAGCCCATCCTGCCACAACTCAGCAAACAGCTGTAGGTCGGCTGTGCTGGACACGTTCTGTGTTTCGGGAAAACCTCCTCCACGGGGAACAGGCATCTCCCACTAGCCTTAATAGAACCTAAATTTGAACGCAAGGAGAAAACCTCATGCAATATTGATGGTACAGTACTTTAACAGCACACACTGTACCCGTGTGAGAGGCTGCTCAGCTCACACCCTCTCTGGCCCATCTGAGCTACTTTCAGATGAATTTGCACATGAAGAACGTTCTTTATCTTCACACCAGCCTTTACCTTCTGAGTGGCATTTGGAGCATACAATGTATTTGGTGTATCAAAAAAATATTCCTCCCTCTATTCTTCCATCTTTGGAACTAGTTCCCAGTTGGGAAGAGTCCCTCCAATGGGCCTTTCACAGGAGCTACTAAGTGGCTCTGCAAGGACCACCTCTGCCTTTGCCTCACCAGTGGTGTAAGACACCTCCCAGGTTTAGGCCCATTAACCTGATCAAAACATCTTGATGAATTAATGCTCAATATAGACACAGTTGGCAGCTTCTAAATAAATAAATATGGCTAAGCAGCTGCAAAGGAGATGTCATGTTCCACTGGAAAGCCAGATGTCAATTTTATTGGTCCTCAAAGTTTTAAATGAAATGGTTTTGGGAAATTTTGAATGAAATTATTTTGGGAAATTTGGAAAGGAGGTTCTTTTGCTCTGGGTGAATTCTCTGCCTGCCCTCAGGGGGACCAGCTGCAGCCAGACCTGAGCATGTGGCTGGAGAACCCCTGCAGCCCACCCGTGGCTCCATCGCAGCAGCAAATGGTTCGGAGCGTAACAGAACCAATCGGATCGAGATAAGAGAGACTCATTTGGCATCACAGCCATGGCTTCGGATTTTACCTAGGAAAGGACCCTTTGAAAAATCCATCTCTGAAATTGTATCAGTGTCAAAAATCCACAAAACTTATAGGAACCAAATGCAAAGCCTATTGAACTGGGTAAGAGTCTTTCCAGGAACTTTAATTGGATTGGGCTTTCCTTGCACTGCTGATGCCTGCTATAGACTTTTACTCTCCAAAATTTCTAAGGTCCCTAACTGTGGCTGTAGTGCTCTGGAAGCAGTGAGAGCAACCCCTGAAGATAAAAATTTGAATAACATGAAAATCAGGAGTCTGTGTTTGCTAATTCAGGCAAAACCCATGTTCATTCTCTCTTCAATTAGTAAAAAACATTGTGTCTATATGGCATTCATATTTTTTCTCTGATTTGAAATATAAATGCAAACACAATTTATTTTAATCCATTCCTTTAACTACATTAGTTCTCCTCCTAGAACTTGTATGAATTTCAAGCAGAAGCTGCCTAATAACATAAATCATCCATCCCTGTCGGAATATAAGCGGATCCATGACCTTAGAACAATTTTGCTAAGAAATCCAGCTAGAAAACTAATTTTAAGTAAATCTATGGATGTCAAAAACCCAGATGGCTTTTCAGGATGCTAACTTAAGCTTCATTACATAAGCAGATTAGGGCTGCCTGTTGAGCCCCGCACAAGAGTAGATGTGTGCTGAATCCACGGAATTACATCCAAACTGTTCACTTCCTGATACATCTTACATCTAAAACTTTTGTCAGCTCCCCACGCCTCGAGCCTGTTAACTGTGAGCACCACACACACCCAGAACGGCAGCTCTGCCAACCAAATGTTATCCCTCTATCCCTCTCCCAAGGCCACTATCCAAAGCAGCAGCTGGATAAAGCCCATTTCTACAGGCAGACTGGGGAATTGTTCCATCCTTCACCCTCTGCAAATGAAAATGGAGGGAAAAAGCCTCATGAGCCTCTCAAATATTTAAGCACAGCAGTTGTGGAATGATTTTTTGATACAGACTTATAGAATCAAAATTACCCTCATGTTACCAATGGTAACCAGCCTCTACCTGAGTATCAGCTTAGGAAGTTAATGAGCCCAGCAGCGCTACCGGCTCAAATCAGCACAGCAGAGTGAGATCTGATGTGACTGCAGGAAGCAGGGCACACACTCCTCATGGATGAGGACAGTTGGTTTTCCACAGGCATGTTGCATAACAAGGCACAGCACCCTGCCCCTCTCTGCACAGAGCCCCCATTTCAGAGCACGGCAGCCGGCTCCAAGGAGGCCCCGTTGAAACGCAGCCAGAGGGACAGGATTGTGTTTTCCCTTCCCTGTGTGGAAGTGTGTCAGTGTCTGCTGACAGATGGCTTGGCTGACTGTGCTTGACAATTATCAAGCTGCTATTACCTTTGTAAAGTGACTCCCATTTGAAGATTTTCTGTAATTAATTCCGCAGCGTGTTTGCAAGGCTCATTTTATGTCCCGCACATCCCGGGAAGTGTGCAAGGCACTCAGCTGGCTGATTTACACAGCTAGAAGCACCACATCCTCCAGGCGGGCGGACGGGGTGCTTTCAGCAGTCTGTGCTGCCACCTAGCCAAGGCCAACCCGCTGAGCTCAGCCCCGGTTTGCATTTCCAAAGCTCAAACTGAAATGTATCCCCCCAGATCTAAATAAAGCCTTAGTCTGCAGCAGACACAAGGAAATCGGCACTCTTTGTGCCTTGGGAACTGTTCGGTCAACGGAAGAGAGCAGCTTAAAGCAGGGAGTTACATTTCCCTCTGAAACGTCCTGTACTTACGGTAGAAGACATATTCGGTGTAGCTGGACCAGACCTTGTCGTCTGTGTACTGGTTGACGAAGGAAGCTGTCACCGAGGAGTTACAGGCCACCATGTGGAATCCACACTCGGACAACATGTCGAAAGCCCTCTCCAGGTGCTTGAACTTGAGATAAAACCTGGAGGTGTACCTTTCTGGAGCCCTGTCCGGGTCTCTGCTTTCATTTAAACTTTCTCCAAAGACCTCTTTGACCAGAGCAATCCTTCCACAAACCAAAATCCTTGGGACCCTCCTGAATTTGGCATCTGCTTGGCTCTCCCTGCCAATAGTGCACGACCCCCGGTACCCGATGGTAATGAATCCCCACTTCCGATCTGACGGTAAGAGCGATGAGGGTGGGCATATTCTCGTGTCACTGCCTTGGGAGACCTCTTCGTAGTCACTGTGGCAATAATCATCAGGGCTTTGCTTGTTGTCATCAGGAGTCAGGAGTTTGACTAAGTCTGGGAGCTGGAAGTACTCAGCCTCCCTCTTGAGCCTTCCCTTCTCTGGGAAGTGGTCAGGCAAAACCACTTGCTTGTCCCTGAGATAGTCCAGAATATAGCGGAAAAGGAAACCATCTCTGTCAATGAAGAATCTTCCCTTGGAGTCCTTGGCCAGATCGTTGGCTGTGTCTCTCTTTGGGGTGAACATTTTCCACAGCAGGGAGTGAGGGGTGCCAACCAAGGTGGAGTGGCGAGTGAAGTAAACCTGGCCACCCACGTTGAGCTCCACTACCTCTGGGAAGGAGTGTAGTCCAGTCCCCTGCTCCCGAGGAGGCAGGTAAGTCCTGCAGTTGCCACTTAGAGCCATTGTATTTTAAACCAGAAATCAGCAGCGCAAAGCAGCAGGACTATCAATCACATCAGAGGGTAGAATAAGGCTCCCAGCATTAAGGAGAAACAGCAGGGAAAGGAGGAGTGAGAAAATAATGATAGCCAAAAGGTTTGTTTAAAAAAAAATCTGAATTGTCCATGAGTGACAGTGTGGCAGAAGCGGTTTATACCCTGAGCCACGGAGGCTGGAGAGCAATCACCTCGTGAAATGCAATCACATCATTAGATCTTCCAACAAAGCCATCAAAATCAAGGTCAAGCCAAGCCTATGGTCACTCACAGGTCTGTCGAAAGGGAAAACAAAATAAGGCACAAATTACTCTTCTAAGCATCACAGCAGCTGTAACAGAGCAAAGCAGAGCAGTTTGTAGAGCCAAGCTAGATCTCCTGCTAAATAGGTCTCTTTTTTTGCAAGTTCTATGCTTCTTTTTCACAAGTATTCATCAATGGAAGGGCTACATACGACTCCACTGTTTAAAAGAATATGCATACTTCATCTTTAAAGAAACGTTTAAATTTGACATGCACATGAGGGAACAAAAACAGGGAGTCTTACCTTGGTTACAATTAATGCATAGCTCTTGTAAAGGAATCAAAATGTCAAGACACTCAGAACACACATACAGGCACACAGGGTCCGGGTAGTGTGAATCCGATCCCAGCAAGGGACAGCAAAGGCAAGAGAAGTACTCTTAGCAACATCCACGTAGATCTCAAGAGTTAAACCGAGTCACAGGGAAGTTAACCGTGGCGGGTGACGAGGAAAACCAGTACATACAGCACGGGGGAGGAAAATAAAATAAAATAAATAAAAAAAACCCAACAAACCCAAAAATTCCCGAGTGGATGCGCTGGGCTGGGGGAGCGGTAGGGCAGCGCGGGGTGCATCCGCCAGCCCCGATGACTTGCAGAAAGCCCGCAGCCTGCGCTAGGGACTGCCGGGCTCCGGCGGCTCCCGCGGCGGCAGCGAGGCGGGCAGCGCGGCCGGCGGCACCGCCATGGCCCGCCGGGACCGCCGGGGCCGCCCCGCGCCGTCCGCTCCGCCCCGCTGCGCGGCTCCGCGCCGCTCCGCTCAGCCGCGCGGGGCCGGGAGCGCGGAGGGCGATGCCGATTGCATCATCTTAAAGGAGTCGGGCCGGGATGGGCTCCCGCGTCCCGCGCCGGGAGCGGGCACAGCCGGGTAGAGCCGGGCAGCGCCGGGCAGAGCTGGGGCAGAGCTGGGCAGAACCGTGCACGGGCGGGCAGAGCCGGGCAGAGCTGGGGCAGAGCCGGGTCAGAGCCGGGCACGGCGGGACACCGCGGGCAGCAGCAGCACCGCGGACAGCGCCAGTCGCCGCCGCGCCGGGTCCGCCACCGCCCGCTCCGCTCGAGTTGGGCTGAAGTCCCCGCCCCGCTCCGTCCCCTCGGCCGGCAGCGCCCATCCCTGCCCCTCCACAACGTGCCTTTCCTGGCTCCGCGCAGCCCCGCGGGGGTCTCAGCCGGCGATGCGGGCGGGCAGGGCTGGAGCGCCCGGCGCGGGGGGGCTCCCGGCGCCCGCCGCTGTCGGGCAGGACCGGGCTTTTATCCCCATCGCCCCAGCGGCGACTGGCGCAGGCAGGAGCCGGCAGGGACGGGAGGAGGAGGAGGGACCGGGGGCGGCTCGGGCGCACCCGCTCTAGTTGTGGGTCTGTAACAGGGGGAGCCGCGGCCGTGGCTCCGCGCCCGCCCCGCGCTGCCCGCGGGCGCGCCGGCACCGCCACCTCGTGTCTGTCCGCGGTGCTCGGCCCCGGCGCTGCGGGCAGGGAGAGAGAGCTGAGCGCTCCGGGAGCTCTGGTGGGACACCGGGAGCCCCCGCTCATAGAGCTCGGGGGAACGAGCCCGGCACGGTGCCGAAACGCAGCGGCGGAGTTGCGGGAGCGGCTTTCGAAGCGCGGCCACAGCGCCGGGGGGACAGGGGGCACAACCCTGTGCCAACACGCACCGGTCCCGGGCAAAAATACGCTAGTCAGAATGATAACCGTGTGAGAAAATAAAGCCTTTTACTCAAACGTGGACCAAAAGCTCTAGAGTGAAATCTCTGTGCGATGGAATCACTGTGTGCAGATACATTTCGCTGAGATACTTCAATGAGATTCTTCTGAAAACATGGCCGTAATTTAAAACAAAATAGTCAAAAAGTACTATTTTCAAGGCTAAGGCAGGAAATCATTATTTGTGTACTTACAGACTATTCAAATTAAATCTGAGAGCTGAACAGTTAATCAAACTCTTGATTTTTACCTTAATTCATTAATTCTGAAACAACTGCTGTACTCCTGAACCAAGGGTCTGTCTCTCGCTTCAGAATCTGATTCCTGATTTTCAAACCAGCAGAGTCTGGTGCTGCTACAGAGAGTCCTCGTTGTGGCTCAGAGAAAAGCCCACGTCCTGTGCCCCTGCCCTCTGCAGAGCAGCTGAAGCAGTACAGGTCAAGTGCTCCATAACCCTTGCACAGAGGATTTAAAGGTGGGATGTGAGATCATGTTCACTTAAATGTCTTCATTACTTTTTTAAGAGCCTTGATGCAGCCAGTGCAGCCAGGATTTAACATCTGCATGACCAGCCAGAGCAAACGGCAGCTCCCTTCGGGAACGGAGTCCACCAGTGCTGCCCCTGTTCAAAGCAGGGAGTATTGCATCACCTTTCCCAAGTATTTTGGTTGTCCATGCTAATTAATATGCTGTAATCATATTAAAATCCATTTTCATAAAGGCAGTGGTGCCATATTGGCAGGGCTTGAAGAATCAATTCCCTCTCCCCAGTAAAAACTGATGGTGTTCAAACTAGCACAGAAACGTTTGTGATCTCACTGTGATTAAGATCCAAACCTCCAAGGTTGGGGTTAAAGATCACCTGTGTGGATGCTTTGAGGGCCAAGACAACACAGTGAGTCTGATGTGCAGGTGCTCAGTGAACAGTGGGTGACAAGAGTCTTATAAAAACCTGTGATTCCTGACAAGCTCCATGAAGCATTCCGGCAAGGATTCCATGTGATTAGCCAATACAGAGAGCTCTAAGCTCTATGTCTTTTTGAAACATTATCATCAGAATTGCCCTTTGAAAAGAACAAAAACCTTAGAATTTTAATCACAACAGCTTTAGAAATGCATCTGCACTTTTCAAATAATGATGAAAGCAATTCAGCATCTGCTTTTATTTCTTTACACGGGATGTTCCAATCATTTCACTGTAACACAATTTCCTTTGATGAAATGACTTCAGTCATAAAAGCATCACGTAAGGCTCCCCAGCCAAATACAAGCCATTGGCCAAATCCATCAAAATGCAGCCTGAGAGAGTGAAACTTTAAAATCTGGGCCAAATACATGGTGATGACCTAAATGTAAAATATGTGTCAGGACCATGCCAAGGAGCAGCTCAGTTCTGATGGAAAGAAAAACAGCATCCATCAAAGCGGGGAGGATAGAGCACGTCTCACTTCTAACAGATGTCTTTATAACCTTCAGCACAGCCAGGGGAAAATTGAGCCTCAGCTTAAAGTGTATGTTCCAGAAGTCCCGGCAGAGCTATGCTTAAACCTGATCTATGAGTGATGTGACATCATTCACAGGTTTGAGGTCATTCCTTATGAGAAAGTGCTAAATTAGCATTTCAGGAAAACATGGGACAACCGACTTCATTGAATTTGGTGGGTGCTAAAAAAAGATGTCAGAAAAGAAGCAGCAATGAGTGCTAGAAAGAAAGGGCAGTGTTCAGCTGGGCTGTAGTGGCAGTGGAGTGTGTACGTATCACCTCCACACATCTCCAGTGAGAACACACAAGCTGGAAATTCAAATCAAGTCACCCACATGTAATGAGAAACATCAGAGTTGTTTATCAGCAACAAACACTATGCAGTGCTTAGAGGTGCTCAGTGAAGAAGCAACTGAAAGTAGCAGAAACTGAATGAGTAATTCTGGGGGAAAAAAAAAAATCTAAGTTGGATTTTGGACAGCAGATTTCAGCTAAAAAGCCACGTGAGAATTTTCATCACTCTGGGTGGTTTTTACACACAATAGTTTAAATAAAAAAGGAAGAAAGAAGAACAGTACTTCCAGTTCTAGGCCTGTGCTTTGATTCAGGGACAACTTCAAGGTGCCACCTAAGGATCCTTCAGCCCTGTTCCCTGTAATGTTCTGTGCTCCTCAGTAGGCTTGTGTCTAAGTACTGAGCCAAGGCGACATTTCCGAGGGCAGAACTCCAGGCAGCCAGAGGGAAGATGGCAGTTTCTGAGAAGGATGGCATGGCAAAGGGACAAGGAAATGTCTGGATTTGGCTTATTGTGAGGGCCAGTGGTTTTCCCGAGAGGCAGAAACCACTTCCTGCGCTAGCGCTCCCAGACAAGACTGCCAATCCGACCTCAATCCATGGCAAAGGACAGAGCCTGGTAGGAATCAATTCCAGGCTCCTGCAAAGTTGCAGACACCTCTCTAAAAGGTGTGTATGCTTTCCATCACTCAGGTAGCTCCACAGATTGAGCTCCCAAGAAAAGAGCCAGGTAAGAACAACTACGGTACAAGCTAAAATAAGAGATTATCCCCTGCTCCAGCAGTGTGAATTACACACAGTGAAAGTCTCATCTGCTGAAATCCAGCAGTGTGTGGGAATGGGAAGCCCTCACAAATCTTTCACTTTGAAGAAAAAGCATAAAGTAACACTAAATGGCAGAGTCTCCCTGAGAAAGGATCTTCCAGCAAAGAGTATGAGTGCCTTGAAGCCGGGTTTATTCACAAATGCAGAGTAAAGCATTACACAGTTTTGCCCTTGATCTTTTATTCATAACTCATGTGTATAATGTATTTTCATCAAAAACAGGCAAAGGGGAAGAGCAGCTTTCCCAGATGCTCTGGACATGAGCACAGGCACAGTGCAAGGCAGATGATTCAAACACAGACATGAGACAACATTTCTTCCCACCATGTAACACACAGGGGGGTCACAGCTTCTGCAGATGAAACTGTTTGATTCTTCTGGCAAACACCAAACCCACAGCACAAGCACAACATAAGGTTCGAGGTTTACAAAAACTGACATTAAGGGGCTATCATGTTCCACTTATTTTGATATCAATCATTGTACATCAGACAACATTTTGGAAAAGAATTGATATACCCAGTGCTGATAACTTCTTTGGAATTCCACGGCCACTGTTCAACAAAGCAACTTGCTACACAAACAACTCTAACACTGCAAGAGATCCAGCATGTACAGGCAGTCCTTATGGACTCACATCAACAACCAAGGACTAAAATCAAATAAAAATTGCTCTTTTCAGTCCCCCCTCTGCAAGGAACTTTCTTTCTCCCTTACAAGTTCTGCCATAGCAAGGCCTGCTTCAGCAGACTTCTTCCTCCTCTCCCTTTTTCCATCCCCCCGTACTTCCAAAGTTCTTTGAATAATCCTTTTATTCTCAGTCTGGTTCAAATTATCCCGTCATTAATACCGGTGTATTTAAAGTGTATTTTTTAATGTTACAGCTAAAACAAAGTTTGGTCTTCACTGGGTAGCATGATGATGATAATAATAATGATAACAATTATGATGTTGATAATAATGATGATGACAATGATAATGATGATCATAATAATACTAGCAATGATGTGTAACCCATCCACTAAGTTTATGAATATCTTCACTTTTCTCATCTTGGAGTCATTTCAAGGCCTCTTGCAAAACCAGACTCTCTGTTCAGACAGTGTTCCAAGCCAGGCTGGACAGAGCTTGGAGCAAACTGGTCTAGTGGAAGGTGTCCCTGCCCATGGTAGGGGGTGAAACTCTGTGAGGCTTAAGGTCCCTTCCAA